AAACATAATTTTGGTGATATTCTTATCGTGAAGTGTGTGTAGTCAATTAAATTAATAATTCTTCTAATTAATTAGAAGTGTGTGTAATAATAAGGAATACTACGTAAATACTATAGTGAATTCTAAATTACAATGAGTGATGGAGGCAGTCGCTACACCGAATACCCCTGGATGCCGCAGGAGACCCGAGGTAATGTCTGACCATATTAAGTAATCCTACTTTAATAATGCCTTAATTTTCAAACAGGCCTACATAACAGGATCGATCGTGTCGATGTTGCCTGCAACATGGAACACACTCGTAAGAAATTTACATGTAGGCTCTCTTTTATTTTTTTTCTTAGTTGAATTTATTTGTATTTTTGTGCCCAACGTGTGGCTTCGACCCACGCCCTATGTTAGAGTCTCATGCTCTACCGACTGAGTTATTGAACGCTTTACATATTCATTACTATATTCCTTTTCTCTTCATTATTTAATAATGCAAAAATAAAAACACAGGTAAAACAAAAGTCTTAAACAAAAAACAAAAAAATAAAATTCGTATATTTATATACAAAACATATCTTTCGCATGAAAAACTCCAATTTTTTTTCCGTGCATATTGCCTAATTCATAAAGAGCATTTCCAATCGATTTTATAACTATACATTTTACGTTTTTCTTTCCCAGCTTAGCATTATATCCTTCACTTTGATTGCTTTGCTTGAAATTCCGGCGGTACACCACTTGTCCTTCCTTAAATTGCACCAGTTTTTGACGCGTTCTACTATTATATATTTGTTCTGCTTTATCATGAGCCAGTTTCAATTGAGCGGTTAGCTTCTCACGTATAATTTGATGTTTGTCAGATCCCTGTAGTATATTAGATTCTCCAGTCTGAAGCGTTGCTAACTTCCGATCAATTTTATAAGTATCCCCGTGCTGTACCATATGTGATCCAAATACCGCTAAATAAGGCGACACTCTCGTAGCACCGTGCGTAACACTTCTTATCGCGAATGCTGCATCACTCACACACTGGTCCCAATTTTTCTGGTTATCACTTACATATGCTCGGATGATTTGTAATATGGATCGATTTACTCTCTCTGCCGCATTCGCTTGAGGTGAGTACACCCCTGTCCTAATGTGGTTTACTCCATATTTATCTAAGAATACCTTGAACGTTTCAGCTACAAATTGCTTACCATTATCGGAATGAACATACTCTGGCACTCCAAACATGTGAAACACATCTTTCTCCAAGTATTTCACAACATTTGAAGCTGTGGCTGCTCTCATTGGTTTTAGAAAGACATATTTAGAAAAATGATCTAAACAGACAAATAATACTGTGCTCCCTTCCTTTGACCTAGGATATGGTCCCATAAAATCAATGTAAAGACGTTGGAAAGGTTTTTCCGTAATAAATTGTTTACCCATCATGGGCCGTTGCATTCTATTAGTAGCTTTCGATGTATTACAGGTATCACATGTTTTTACAAATGCATATACGTCACTTACCATACCTGGCCAGAAATATCGCACTCTCAATCTTGACAACGTCTTATGAATTCCTCCGTGACATGCTGAAGGGGATGCATGCACCCTCTGTAAAAGTTGTTTACGCAATTCTGTCGGCACCCACAACTTCCAGGTTGCATCTTCCTCATTTAAGTTACCGTTTCTAAATTCGGTTCTCTTATATACATAACCGTCAGATATACACAGAGCAGGTAGTTTGTTCTGCCCTTCTTCAATGGTTTTTAAAAGTTTTTGATATTCCTCAGTTAAGAAAAATTCTGACTTGAGATCAACATCAAGCTGCCGTGATTCCAAACGAAGTTCTTCCACAAACATCCGTGATAGCGCATCTGGAACAACATTTTGTGAGCCTTTTCGATGTTCTACTTCAAAATGAAAACCTTGTAGTTTAAGACTCCATCGGGCCAGTCGGCCGGATAAATCTTTCTGATTCATAAGCCATTTCAAACTAGCATGATCTGTTATTATGGTGAACGGTAATCCTTCTACATAAGCTCTAAACTTTTTCACACTCAAAACTGCTGCATAACATTCCAACTCTGTGACGCTGTAATTTCGCTGTGCCTTGTTTAGTTTAGCTGACATGTATGCGATTGGTCTCTCATTTCCTAACTCATCTACTTGAAATAAAACCCCTCCCACGCCATCACTGGAAGCATCACATTGGATATAAAAATGACGTTCAAAATTTGGATTGGTCAGCACTGGTGCAGACACTAAACTATTTTTCAGGTTTTTAAAAGCATCTCTAGCATTCTCAGACAAAGAAAATTTTTTTATTTTATCCTTGGTTAGACAATCGTGCAAAGGTGCAGCAATAGATGCATAATCTTTTATG